TATCCTCTTAAAATTACAGTCCTTTAGCTTCTGAAGTACTCGAGTTATCAGCTTGCCCGAAAAAAACTTTGGCGGTCCCGTACGCGGGTACCATGCTTACCCGGGGGCTGGGTTTGAGCTCACTATTTCCCACTTGGAGGGGAACATCCTTCCAAGATTTCAGCATTCTAGCTTCTCAGATCCCCGAGTTATGAACTTATCCGAAAAAAATTTTGGCGGGCTCGTACGTGGGCACCACACTTACCCGGAGACTGGGTTTGAGCTCACTAACGCCCACTTGGGCAGGAAACAGCCTCCTAAGATTCCGGCGTTCTAGCTTTTCAGATCCCCGAGTTATGAACTTATCTGAAAAAAATTTTGGCGGGCCCGTACTCAGGTACCACGCGGGTAACGGCGCCAATTTTGGGGATTGGGGCCCGTACGTGCAGGTAGATTAAGTTCCCAAATTTTCAGCCCTGTAGCTTTTGTAGGTCTTGAGATGAAAAACCATGACAGACGCACACACGGACACACAGACAACCTCTCGTCAATATGCGTTTTTCGCATTGCATGGCTGCAAAAAACACATAAAAAAGTATACAGACGTTGTGCAGAAGCAAGTTTGCGATAGCTCGCACTACGAATTTGACGTGGCCTCGACGAAAGCCGAAAAATTGTAGACGTGCTAAACGTCAGCCGCGTAGTTTTGTTGTCACACTCGATTTAGTAAGTATTTGTAAATATGGGAAGGATTAGAATTGATTTTTCGGCAAATCGCTCCCCTCAAACGCTGCGCTAATCATCATTCCAGTACTGAATCGCTTCGCAAACTTGTGTACTTATACATCTGTAAGCTGATTTTGATAGCTGATGGGTCATAATCCAGAATCTTCGTTTTCCCCAATGTATGGTTCCGAAAAACGGTACTGTAAAATGTGATGGAGTTAGGCTTGTACAATAGCTGAATAAATTATGCTGTGTTCAGCTTGCGTCCCTTAACAAGTTGCGGCCACGTGCGATCAGTGGTTTCATCACTGCAGGATGTCCGGAATACAGTGCTGTGCAGTCCATGTTCAACACCAATTTTCGCTCGAAGAATGAACTTCAGTGAGCGACTGCACATCGCAGATCATGGTTCCTTGGATTCCTTTGCTGGTCATTGTTTACTTCATTCGCGCAGCTGAGTTTTCACTTCTACAGCTCATCGTTATCTTAGTTTCAGGAAGCGAAGCAGCGAAATACGAAAGTGCACCGTTGGTAGGCAGTGGTTCTTCCGATTATGCGGTCGTAAGTAGCAACCACATTTACACAGCCGTTGAAAAACGGGCAGGAATGCAAAAACGATCGCCTCTGCTTGGCGCTGCTAGACTCCGGCATCCAGTTAGCTGCAGTCAACCATACGCTACGTCGCAATTCACTCGTGACCAAAACATCTTGCTGGTTCGATATATTTTGGCATGTAACCACCCTTATGAAAAAAATAGGCGGTCGAAGGCGATCGAACGGTTCTAAAATTTATGTAGTAGTATCAGTAACAGGCATCGTCACTGCTTGCTTGACTTCTGCATTCTTACGGCTTGCGTTTGTGCCTAGCTTTGGGTATAGGAGTGGGAACACTGAACCTGATCTACCGTGCGTGGTAGATCCAGACGAAGACTGGCAAAACAAGGTATGCAAATGAGAGTGTGCACCAAAAAATCGTGATTTCTTGCGTTGCACTATGTCAGTGGGAGAATGCGACGAAATGTGTGGAAGCGTTTTCTACGTCATCGCAGTGGTATTTTGATAGATCTGTTAAGCGCTAATATGTAGTCCAATAGTTGAAAAGACTGGGTACTGTACTGCATGTTGTGGCTGTGCTGGCATGTGGTTTTCCACTGTCCGAAAACTTTGCGAGTATTTTTTCAAATCCACTGCAGAGAATGGTATGAAACAATGCGGATTATAAAATTTGGCCCCGCATTTTAGCTTTGACTTCATGGATTTCCTTTTGTGATGGCTACGGATTTCGTGGGAATGAGAGAAACTTGTTAGATCAGGCCGTAAATATGACGACTGTTCTGTTCTACAAGCAGGAAAATTTGGAAGGCTGATCCATAGGACCGAATACGGAAAAGGGACCCCGAAAAAGCTGGACAAATTATCCTCGTAGATTTCTGTTCTTGCTGTGATTACTTTTTCCGCCTTCCCTCCACGCATCAGCTTATCGTTCATATCTGAAGAGCGGGACAGATGAATTCAAGCGCAAGTTCCCGATCAAACCGCCATTCTTCGTTTACAGCGTTCCTTCCCCTCTTCACAAGTCATTATTAGGTCGAAGCCGAATAGCTTGTCGCGTGTTAAACATCGCACTGCATGAGGAACAGCATATATTTTCCACTACAGCAACTTGTCCTGATTTGACTAAAAGTCATTTTTGAAGCAGTTATAAGCTGCTGATGACGATCTGTCTGTAATCGTAGTTTTGCGTATTTTCAGCAAAAAAATATAAGTCACGCAAATTTGTCTCTGCCGTTAAGCGGTTACGATGGCCGTCCTCTTCATCAAATACGACGCAATCCAGAAGCAATCAGTGTGATCCGAGAAGAAAGCGCAGTAGCTGCAAAAAATTTCGAGAAAAGTCGCCTGCCAAAGATGCCTTCCAGCTCGGCTGGCAAAAAAAGGTGCGGATCCTGGCTGAGCAAAATCAAACCTACAAGAAAGCAGTGCTAGAAATGACTTTGATGAAAAAAATAATTGTTTGAAATGTCTCCAAACATGTGATAAACTTGTCCATCACTCACCATACCTCGAAAAACACTGCAAAAAACTGCCCGATAATCTTTGAACCATCGCCGATCACTGTTGTCGCAAATCCTACCGTAGCTCAACGACCCACGTGCCAGTATTCATTAGCTTCTCTCCCTGTCATGTGCTCAAAAATTCCATGAATGAGCACTGGCTACACTTTCACAATATTTTTTTTTGGATCAGCTGAGCGCTTTTAGTCATCGGGTTCCGCCCATTTTTCCGCACCCTCCCCCCCCCCCCCCCCCCCCCCCCCCCCCCC